TGAGGAAAGGACACTGTCGCACCGTCAGGATGAGAACAGACATTCCACGAGAAACCAGGTAAAAAACGCACAACACACACAAGTGCATCAGGCAAACATGACGCACGTTAAACACACACAGGTACACAAACCCTTTTTTTTTTGTTGGATTTCACCCGTCTGACTCACTTCGTCATGAGCTGAAGGTGTGTTTGTGCGTCTGTGTGCTCTGAGGGGAGTTCTTGCACACTGCTGCGTTTCTCTTAAAGCAGTAACTCCTTATATGAAATATAAACACGCAACATACCATAAGAAATACGTACGCGAGGAGAAAGGGGGGAAGTTTTCAAGGACAGGAATGAAGTGGGACTGATTATGTAAAATAAAAGATGAACACACTGCAACATATACGTTACAACACAAATGCAAACGCCACAATATAACCACAAAAACTACAACACAACTACATAAGTTGTTTTGTCCATGTTTGTCCACGTTTTCACAAACGGCCGCTCAGATGACTTCAGTCAGTAACTCTGCTCGTTTCATTGTCAGATGAGTCAAAACCGTGGGTTTTGAAATGTGTGTCCTGTTTCCAGGCTCCGACAGAGCGTCAGCTGCGCTACAAGGAGAAGGTGACGGAGCTGAGGAGGAAGAGGAACTCTGGCCTCAATAAGGAGCAGAAGGAAAAGTACATGGTAAGTGGGTGAGGACTGAATGTGTCGAACATAAGCATTTCTCCATATTGTGTTCTGAGAGTCTTTGTGGTTTTCCGCCCTCCGCCCCCACGTACAGGAACACCGTCAGAGCCACGGGGCGAGCCGGGAGCCGCTGCTGGAGAACATCACCAGCGACTACGACCTCGAGCTGTTCAGGAAAGCGCAGGCACGTGCCTCGGACGACCTTGTAAGAGAGAAAACTCATCATCATCCCCCTCCTTGTTCTCCTTCCTCTTATTTTTTTGTCCCCTCTTTTCTGCCTTACTCCTCTTCTTCTCTGTTTCAGTCTGCAAACCCTCCTTCGCAGCCAAAGGAGGAGTCTGAGATATTTTTGGTAGTTTGGAGAATCACTTCCTGTTGTTCTGTATATTTTCCTCTCCTGCTCTGTTAGACTGTGACTCGACAGCTCTGTCGTGTTCAATCAGGCTTCTCGTCAAACCTTCACATTAACGTTTGAGCCTCTCAGGTACAAAAGGCATACGCTCACTTTCCAGTGCAAACAACATATTTAGATACGTGACGGGCGTTTCAAGCTGTTGTTGGTTTCACTGCAAAATAATCTTTGAAAAACCTGGAGCTTAAAATAAGTAATTCACCAATTAGCATGTTTAAGAGTTCTCTGTTGTTTTTGTCTTTGTTGTAGTGGCATGGTAATGATGGAAGTTCATCTTAAACTCAAATACATCTAAAGTCCAGTTTTAGAAACAGATAAAATAAATAACGTCCCTGAAAATCTTTTCATTTATCTTTTTATACACGACACACAATGTTTTGTTTCATCCCTTCATTTTAAGCCTTTTCCTGTTTGTTCCTCATCCTATAATTTCCCACCATCTCGATATTGTGGATCTTTCTGTGACCGGTTTCCTCCACTGAGGTTCCTCCTAAGTTTGATCTTTGGCTCACCAGATCCTCTTCCCTACATAATTGAGATCTTTTCCTCTTTCTCTCCCCTCTCTCTCTGCTCGCCTGCCCTCTCTTCTTGTCCTCTTTATACCTTGTCGCTCCGTCCCCCCATCTCCTCATCCCTCCTGCCCTGGCCCGTACAGGAGAAGCTCCGTCTGTCCGGTCAGGTGTCGGAAGGCAGCAACATGATAAAGACCATCGTGTTTGGACGTTATGAGCTGGACACCTGGTACCACTCTCCTTACCCGGAGGAGTACGCCCGCCTGGGGAGGCTCTACATGTGCGAGTTCTGCCTGAAGTATATGAAGAGCCAGACCATTCTACGCAGGCACATGGTGAGGCAGCTCTCTGGAGGCATCTTCACGACGTGTTGTGTGTTGCCTGAGGCGATTCATCATTTCATTCTGAGCGGCCGTTCGGAGCTGGGATCTGAAACGGACCTCTGTTATCGTTGTGTTTGAATTAAGAACTCCTCTGTTTTGTCTCTGTTGCATAAAGGCAAAGTGTGTGTGGAAGCATCCTCCAGGAGACGAGATCTACAGAAAGGGAAACATCTCCGTCTTTGAGGTGGATGGAAAGAAGAACAAGGTAAGAGGGAGCAGCACATGTCCTCCTGACCTCCAGAGGGTCCAGGAGTCATCGATCGTCGTGCGCTTGATCGTTAAACCTCTCGTGAAGCAGAGTGAGCAGTGATTGACTGAAGAGGAAGTGACACAGTTCAGATAAATCCATGTTTCCTGTGTTCCACTGTGGACGGAGGCATCTGTACATAAACTGTACAACAAGAAATATAGAAAAATAAATGAGGGAAACTGGCAACAAGTTCTTTTAAATTACTGACTGCGGTAATTATTGTGTTTCTTGTTGCTTCTCACTGACGTGTGTGTCACTCCTCTAAACCCAGTAATCCAGGGAACTCGTCTGTGTTTTTACACAAAGACACACACACACACACACACACACACACACACTGACTGTATATTATATTGTATAAATTACACAGGTCATCATGTCACTGTTCTCTTCCACACAGATTTACTGCCAGAACTTGTGTTTGCTGGCCAAACTCTTCCTGGACCACAAGACTCTGTACTACGACGTCGAACCTTTCCTCTTCTATGTCATGACTGAAGCTGACAACACGGGCTGCCACCTCGTCGGATACTTCTCTAAGGTAGCGAGGGAGTCAGGTGCCGAGGGCAACGTGTTGTATGTCTGAACTATGTGAACAGAAACATTTAAGTCAAATGTTTTCCAGAGAGACGCTGGAGACAGATGAAAGTCCCTCAGCACGTGAAATTATATTTGATTCTGTGTTTACGCTGTCTGATTTATTCAGCGAGTCTCTCTGGGTTTTATTACCTGTTTTAAAATCCTCTTGATCCTCAGCCTGCGTAAATATCACTCACCTCTAATTCTAGAATATCAGCACTGACAATCAACCTTGAAAAACGTGTCTCAGCTGAACCGTCGTGTTTATGGATTGATTCTCTTTCTGCAGGAGAAGAATTCTTTCCTGAACTACAACGTGTCCTGCATCCTCACCATGCCTCAATACATGAGGCAGGGCTACGGCAAGATGCTCATAGACTTCAGTGAGTACAGAACGCAGAGTGTGAATTTATCCCGAGCTGCGTTCAGACCTGCGCTGAACTGTGGAGGGGGTGCATGTGTGAACGCAAAGGGAGGTGGGGGGGAGGTCACACACGTAGAAGACACTGACGAAGACGTCAAGAGTTTGTGGTGATGAGAGCTGACGACACAGGAAGCCACAAAACATTGTCCTTTGCCCCAGAGGCTGATTCGACGATAGCTGATCAGCTCCGAGGTCGGCTGTTGTTTGACGGTAAAACTACTAAAAGCTCTAAAATCTCTTTCACCAGGTTACCTGTTGTCTAAGGTGGAGGAGAAGGTGGGTTCACCCGAGCGTCCTCTGTCTGACCTGGGCCTCATCAGCTACCGCAGCTACTGGAAGGAGGTGCTGCTGCGCTACCTGAACAATTTCCAGGGCAAGGAGATCTCCATCAAAGGTCAGGAGAGGACCGGGCTGCCTGTGTGTTTGTGTGTTATCTGCATTCATGCGTTCAGCTGCGTGCGCCTTTGTGAATGGACCAGAACGTTAACGTGATAAATGAAGGTGGACGCACACGACAGTAACGGTCGTCCAGGACGAGGCCACTCCTGACACGTTCAGGGGACCGAGCGGGAGACGCCGTGCTCAGCCCATCGCTTTTTATTCTGCTGTTTTCATCGTGTAAAGAAAAACGAGAGTCTGCCGCCATGTCTCTGTGGGACGAAACCCAGAGAGCGAAATGCTAAAAATAAAGATGTAGCTACAGCAACCATCAGTGTGATAACACTACAAATAACTCAGTGATAACACTCTGTTCCATCCCTTCACCTTTTTAAATCTTTGTTTTTTTTAATTTTCTCAGAGTTCTCCTGCAGAGAAGAGCGGCTCAGCTTGATTAGTTCTAACTACACCGCTGTGTTTCCACATGTCTCTGGATGTCTTATAGTTTTATGTCGCTTGGAAACAGCACAAGCCAGTTTCCTCCCTGCTTCATATTTAATTTAGTTTGTTCACAGTCGCAGCCAGTATCTGCTCTCAACATCGGCCCAAATTGAAATTCCTCTGTTTGGGATAGATTCTTGTCTCCCGCAGGACGAGTCGTAGTAACTTTCCTTTCACAAACTTTTCAGCAGCAGCTTTAAACCCCCCCCCCCTCTGGTTTTACTCTTGTGTTCACAGAGATCAGTCAGGAGACGGCCGTGAACCCAGTGGATATTGTCAGCACGTTGCAGTCCCTCCAGATGCTCAAGTACTGGAAGGGGAAGCACCTGGTTTTAAAGAGACAGGTAAGAGACAAGGATCTGCCAGATGACTCAAACTCAAGCTCATCGGTTAACTCGCGGGATAATTAGGTTTCTAACTGAATTTCATGGCTCTTCAAAATGCAGCTGAGATGTTTTTCCCTCCTGCAGGACCTCATCGATGACTGGAAGGCCAAGGAGACCAAACGGGGAAATGGCAAGACCATAGATCCCACAGCCTTAAAATGGACACCTCCTAAAGGGACGTAGAGAAGCTTCACACCTTGACACACGCACACAGTCCGATCCTCCGCTGTCCGCTGGCATGCTCACACACCCTGAGACTAAACCCTCACACGCACTCTTGTACAAAAAGCTTTCAGCAGCTGCAGTCGTCCACGTTTACTCTGAGTTCAAGCAGCCGCTGACAAATCATTTCAAAAAGAAGCACAGTTTGTTTTTAAACTGGAAAAACTGGAACATCCAAGAAATCTAATTCTTATAGGCAAAACAAAAATAATATATATATATATATATGTATGTATATAGAACCCAAACAGGAGAGTTAATGGTTAAAAAAATAAATATCAGATTACTCTTGTGAGAGTCACACTTTCGATTTACTTGATGCAAAGTATTTGAAGACAAACTGCAGCCTCTCGGTTCTCCTACGTGCACGTGCAAACATCTGGATGTTAAATGAAGGCAGGGAACGAAGTCGTTATTTAAAAAATGAGCTATTTCAGTTTTTAAGTTGTCTCTCGAATTGTAATTTAATTCAATCATTCATATATTTTATTTATGAGACGGAGTTAAACTCGTCATAATAAACTGCGATTGATTGTCCAGCGACGCAGGAATAAATTCTGGTCCCATCGTGGTGAAGCAACGGGCCGCAGATGTGACGTCAGTCCACGCTGGTATCTCCTCGGCCTCGTTCGTCACGAGATAAGTGAAAGTAATTGTGCGTCGTTAGCGCAGCTCCTCCCGGACACTTCATCAGCACGGACCGCCAGACGCACCCGCTAATCCAATCTCAGACCGCCGCCGCTGACGCAGACCAGCTGGATGTGATTAAACCGAACAGGACCCGGGTTCAGGATCCATCCGGTTCTGAAGAGTAGGAACCAACACCTGAAATGAAAAGACAGTTCCCAGGCAGGAGTGAGATTAGAACGAAGCTCAGTAAAACATGAACTATATCGGTTTTTTTTTTTTTTAAATTGTTTGTTGACATGTTTTAAAAAGAGCGGAGATGGAATCAGACCAGAGCGAACAGCGGCTGTTTGGATTCAGAGCGAGTGAATTCTGTCCCGTATTTAACCGAGCTCCGTCGAAACTTCACCAGGGAGCTATAGCTGCCATTGGCCCTGTTTGTGCCGTGTTGGGTCCCCAGGACGGGTGTCACCGCAGGTTCGGTCCTGGTGTCACCGCAGG